GGGGGGGGAGAGTGCTAGTATAAATAGTTTTGGAGCCAAACTTCGAAGGCCTTAAAAAAGGGTAGAAAAAATTGAGTCATATAATATTGCTGAATATATCGTCAGAAAGCCTGGTACCTGGAGTTTACTTATAAATCCGCTTATTCGACAAATTGCATAAGTGCCCAAAAATCCAAAGACCGATGGCTAACATACAGAAAAAGAATCAATTATCAAAAGTGCTTGATAATTTTAATTTACTTTATTAAAGTGAAAATATCTTTATTCCTTTTATTGGCTGAAAAATGTGGTTGCAACCGCTTTTATCAAAAACTGTTCCTTTTCATCGGACACTTCTATCAGTTGTTCTCAGCTACATGTAGTATCAGCTAGTAAGCACGTGTTTCCATTGTGTCAGTACATGTAGCACTCCAACATTTGATATTTTCTGCCACAGCCAGATGTGTGTGTGTGTGTGTGTGTGTGTGTGTGAATCAATCTGGAAAAAGTGACCATTCTTCGGGAAATCCCAAGACACAAATTTAGGAAAGGTAGATACGTCTTAAATGAGCAGAAATATTACGCCACATTATTTATGTAACATGTAATGGGCTACGGACAGAAATCTGTAGCTCATTGAACAGCAAAGTTTACTTTGTTGTAAATTAATAAATTTTTGTTTGGCGTATTTTCATTATGTCTACTGAGTACATGGACCCCCGCCCATTTACCAGATATGCCGATATTATTTTTCTAGGAAAATTAATGAACTGATTACCACACACTATATAAGACCGCGAGTTTAAGAGGTTTATTTACATCGAAATTGTTGACATTGTAGCACCTTAAATTTTTTTCCAGTGCAGGAGGAAGAAATAAATAAAGATCTTCCGATCCGTGCGGCCCAATGGGCTTCCTGATGACCAGTATGCATATGGCGATTTCATTGTTAAACATAATAATACTGAAAAGATCTATATATGGGAAAACAAATGAGACCAAATCTGTTTAATAATATTAATAAATATAAAATTAATTTATATTATTATCTTTAATACGATAACTAATACCGCAAAAATTATATAGGCGTAATTTCCGTCTTCATTAGGCCTATCACCACCACCTTTCCAACCGTAAGATAAATATGACGACGTAAATAAATAAGACATAATCGACGCATCTTCACAGCAACTTCGTGCCTACGTTATAATATATGATAGTTCATTTAGCGCAGACGGTTGAAATAGAAACATAATGAAAATGGAATGTGGGGTCTCTTGGCAGCCAGTGAAACAAATGGTAATGACGTTTACGATGATGATGAACATGACTATAATGATGGGCACCCTCTCCACAGGTGAGCTTGTTTCTTGAAACAATACATCTATTATCAGCAACTTGTTAAATGACAAAAGTTCCACTGCTTTATAAATCGTGATATTCCTTTCCAAAACATGTGAAAACCACGTGATACGCGGTTGAGAGTGACGTCAGGGCACAGCGAGGCTTCGTTCTGTAGAAAGTCCTCCTCTGCTTGGCAAAAGTTTAAGCCGTAAATGACGCGCTCCACGTGCCGAAAGAAACCCTTTCCTGCATCCTGCACAGCATCTTCTGCGCATAGTATTTTACCTGTTAAAAATAAATCGAATATTTATACTATAACTTTATCATATGTTTAAAAGTAAATTAGGCAGAAAGTTAAAAAAAATATTTCAAAAACAGGTGAAAGGGTACAAGAAAAATGGCACACACACACACACACACACACACACACACACACACAGAGAGAGAGAGAGAGAGAACTTACGATGGTTTAGATCATCTGTGACTGCGAGGGCTAGTTCCTGGCTGATGTTAGTATGTATCCATTTCAGTTCCTCAAAGCCGCTGTCCTGGTGACCCGAGAAGCAACCAACTGCTGCCTAGACAATGTCATATACAACACATAAGTCTACAAATTTGGAGGAACCTTTTATCTTGTTGGTTTGTGTTTGTGTTGGCACATGCTGTTTCAATTGTATATGCCTACTATTAGGCCTACACAAAGTGAACTTGTGAAAAAGTCAATGGATAGAAAGATGACAGTCTCATACATATTGTTTACACTCAACAGGACTTCACAAACATCAGACCATCAAAAAACTGTGTTTTTCTAGGAACAATTAGGCTCATGAAGAACATGGCTGATTTGAATGGATCGTACTGCTTATCGCTGCTTTTACGCTTTTTCTGCTATTCCACATGTCTGTTCCTCATTAATGCTAACTTTACCTTAGAGTTAATGAGCAATGTAGTTAGGGAAGCAGGTATAAGGAAATGGACTTGTCTATAGCTACTGGTCAATATTAGACAAGCTTTGTACACCGCAAGTGCTTTTTGAATTTGTATTAACTAGAATTGCTCGATAAAGAAATATTTGCTGACAAGAGATAGTCACGAAGTACAATCGCCGCCTACCTTCGAATTTAAAAAAAATGAACAAAAAAATGTATATTAGTCAAAGAAACCAATATTTTAGCATTATAAAAGAACTGAGAATACTGTGTCATTACCCTGAGTGCGGCTGACCCGGCCCGCAGAATGGACTGGCGGTCTTCATACGCCTGGTTATAATACGTGGACACCACGGCACACGTGCAGTTTTGTATTACCGCCAACACGTACATCTGGGATGAACTGGGGGAAGAGGGGGTCTCCAGCCCACGTGCCACGCGCACGGTCACACAGAACAGACTCAAAAGGACGTTTAACTTCCCAGACGTCATATCTATAACCTGAAAATATAAATGTCTGAACTTAATTTTAAATATACGTCACGTTTAGTGTGAAAACAGCTCGAACACGAGATCGTTTTATGTGCAACTGTATGTATCAAGCTGCTGTTTTCTTACTTTTAATACTGGCTCTCGTCTCTTTTCGTTAAACCTATTAAAATTTCATTCTTCCAGTCAAAAAACGGAAAAAAAGCATTGATGTTTTTCGCACAACTAAATCTATACTGTTTGCGAATTTTGCAAAAGACATAGACGGAATGTTTTTATAAACCTCAGACAAATTTATAGAAACAACCTCATTATCCGCTCATATGTCAATGATAATCTGAAAGGATAGTTGAGAACTGATATCATCTAAGGACAACAATCAACGGTTCATCTTCATCTTTTTCTTATAAAGCAGTTCATATTACATTTAAGAAAGCATGGCCTATTTATGCGGAGAATGCCTAAGTTCAGTGCTGCTCTTGCTAAAGACACTGACAGTATGTAAGTTGAAAGAAGTTACCCTCTACCAGGGCCGTAGATAGATTTTGCTCTAGATACGGATACGGCTCTTCTGGTGTATTATGTGCACATTTCTGTACCGCGAATATGTGTCATGAGTTAGCCAGAGACACATCTCCGTGGTATCAGTTAATATCAAGTGAAAATTAATCTGTGGCCCTGGAAAGAGAGACAGAGAGAGCCTGACACAGTTAAGTTGATTGATCCTCTCCATTCATATATTTTATTGTCATCTACGGCATCCACGTCCTTTCAATAACTTCTAGTCTCTTTAAACTCTTTGTTTGGCTTTTGTTCGAAGTTTAATCCACATTTTTTAAAAAAGTTATTTTACTTTTAAATTTCATAGTGCATGTACATACGTTGAAAATGTGTAGACACACAATGTAAAAAGAAAGAAAGAAACGAATTACTTCGAAGCAGGAAAAAGACCTGACCTTTTAGACTTAATTTCTATAAAAAAGCTTTATTTGTGGATAGTAAAAAACGGAACTCGAACCTCTTCCCTTCTTAAAAAAAATCTATCCGACTCGTGGTGCTGTGCAATACCCCGTACATGTATTGTGATTTGAAGTGACGTGTTCAGGAAACCTTTTTACTACACAATTTGAACATATATTATATTATATATAGAATGCACCATGCAGTGCACTGCCACATTATGTAGACAAGTCTGTTTTGCTAAGTTTTTAAGTTATAGCGGTACATTTATAGAAACTACAGCTTAATTTAAAGCGTATGTGAAAACATGAGTCGCAGGCAATATTGAAATTTAAGCAGATATAAATCCTTGTAGGCGAGATAAAAATCCAAGTCATAGATTATTTTAGATAATAAACTTAATAAAATTAATTTTATCATAAGAAAGCCAGGGAGGACTAAAGAAACCAACCTTTAATCTTCCTTTCCTGACACTCGCCATAACTTTTTAACAATTTTGGAAAAGGCAAATATTGAAACCCACGCATAAGAGGAAGTTTTTGATTTTCGCCTTTCAATTCCATGGACTCGACTTCCTTGGAATCTCCGAAAGCTATAATGTGCTGTCTCTTGTATCTCTCACCATATTAAAATAGGTCATCAGGGTTGAAAAAAAGAACAGTGAGAGACCCGGATGAATTATTTTTGCTCTATAATGCGATGCTCGTAACAGGTATTTTAACATTCGCGCCATGAAATCGCGGTTTGAGGCGTTAATTCGGTGTTCACGAGCACAAACCCGTGACAAACGGCAGTTTTGGTTTCTGATGCTTAAAGTTCCGGGTTACAGAATAATGCTAGATAATACTGTTAAACCTTAATGGTTTACTGGTTGTTAGGGTAAATGTGAGTTTGGTGGCACCCCTCCCTCTCTCTCTTAAACGCATAAAACAGAAACAACACTTGCACAAGTACACACACGTGCGACGCGCACACACGTGACCCACCAGACACAGTCGTGAGGACATCCCACATGCATGAAGCACTAATCTAGAATCGCGATATGCTCTTTGTCTTTAATTTAATAAATCTTAATGATAATGTGTGTTAATTATAATTAAAGACATTAATGTTTCTGTCAAATCTTGATCCCCATTCCATGTTTCCAGTGTGGAACACTCATTCACATTCAGATGTAAAAAGTAGACAATGTCGTCAATTTTGAGGCTATATGCAAAGAGACCTGCACAAGTTTCGATTTTATTTTCATGGTGTAAGCGTTTGACCTTATCAACTTGTCGCGAGATGTTAACAGTTAAGGTTAACGCTTACATTTCGCCACTGTCCAGAATAGTAATGACTTATCAGAACCCCTGGAATATCTTATTTTGTAACATTACACAGAAACACTCAAAGTTTTCATTTGTGCACACAATGAATTTCGAATTAAGATTCCAGAACCATAAAACAGTACTTGTGGTGTACAGCGCTGAGTTCTTTACATTAACAACGCTTTGTCAATCCGCAACTGTTACTTAACATCCAAATACTTATTTAACTGGGACGTCACAAACTATAAGGTGTCGTGTTCAGTTGTGAGGCCCTCAGTTGCCAAAGGTGTCAGTGGAATAATAAAACCAACGCGTATCAGTGTTAATTGTCGCCGTGAAGCTCTCCCGTCCCAGCGCTAGTTACAGGGGGTAGGAAGCCCTCACCGATAGAAAGAGTAAATTGTAAACTCTTTCACAATTCTGCTGTGAATTATCCAATTTTTCAGTCAGCTGATGTGACATTGATGATAAGACGGCGGACAACATGTCTGCCCATATTGAGGTGTAACATGTTTGCAACATGGCAAATGAATGTTTGAAATGCAACTAACCTGCCGATGGTAGACCCGGACTGCCTCTATTCCCTCTTTTCTTTCGAGTCCCACGAAGGCGAGAGAGCGTGTGGCAGTAACTTTACCCCCATAGTATATACATGTACATACACATATGCATGCATAGATATATGTTTATCTGTCTATAGGTCCCTGGGCCTCCGTGAGACAAGTCATTTAAAGTAGGGAGATAGCGAACGAGCAAATTATAAATAATGCCTTCTTCACTGGTTAAGCGGCAAACGCCGTGCGTTGTAGAGTGTCATTAACTTGGATCACGATATGCACAGAGGGCGGTTTTATGGAAGATTTGGTGACAAACGCTAAGGCTGCAATTATACAATTAAACAAAGAGACGCTCTTTTATCACTTACGATCAAAACACTTTAAATGATGGGATCGGGAATTATTTAGTCTGGATTGTCTGGGTAAATATTGGCACCGCAAACGGTTGGCCCTAGTTTGGTATGACTTTCGGCCTAACAACGGCAAAATCATCTGCCAACATCTCTTTCTACGTACCTGTAGAACTACTGTGTGTAATTTGTTCGATTATATAGTAACACTTGGGTAGAATGTCATTCCATTGTCAAAATGCGTTAAATAAGCCCTTCGTATGAAAATATTTGTAGAGTTTACAAGAATCCTAATTGGATTAATTTTGTTCTTAAAATAAACAACCGGCATAGTGCAAATGTGTCAAAACTGAAAGCACTAGCAGAGCAATAAAAATACGGGTTTTATGTCACACGGTGTTTTCATATGATACATATCATGCATATATAAAGTGAATTTTATTTCAAATACTTTTTTCGCTTGCAGCAAGTGATGGTAGGTCGTCGCTTGCGGTCAAACGTCAGGGAACGTGATCAATATGAAACATAGGGCATAGCAAACGAATGAGTCGACAATTAAACCCATCGCTTAAAGTTGATGAATTAAATGAACGTTAAATACATTATTATTAAAGATCCAAAAATCAGAGAAACGATCTGCCTGAGCTCAGAGTCATAGGTGCGCAACAAAACGCATTTTGTCATCAAACTCGGCGCTGTACATAGCGTCCACGTAGCACATCACGGCGGTGGGCATAGAAACGGTTTGATTAATATTTCTGTTGCGTTTCTTTAAATTTACAAAGTATGTGACAGATACCTTATGATGTTCACTTATCTTACCTTACACTTCCTCCTTCTTTTAAAGTGAAAACAAGTGCCACCAGTCCTTCTGTGGATCTCCCCTTCTCAGTTAGTCTTTCTGGTATTTCCCTCAGTCTTCTATGTTGTGTTAAGCAAGGGGAGAGGTTCATTAAAGAAGCATCTACCCAGCAAAGGTAATGCCAACTAAGTTATCGTCTTTATCTCATTATAACAAAGCTACTTACCTGTTTTCATGTGGCAGTGTAAATCTCGAGTAGCAAGGAGAAGCAGACGCCAAGTTCACGATATGATCAGCTCGCACGACGAACTTTAGCCTCGCTACAGGTTTATGATCAACTAATGACAAATGCAAAATCGTGTACCTGAAACCGAGGTCTTTTTAAGGAGGCCGCATAGTAAGTTTGCCCGCATGATCTAGCCTCAATATTCATTGTACTATGTTAAACGCCGCATATGCTTCGGCTTACATCAAATGTAAGAGATGCATGAAATCAAATATTTATAATTGTAAAACGATATGAAGCGTAGAGTAGTGTATATGAAGTCATATTGCAACTCCTTGGTCATATTCTCTGCACTGCCGACTTCAGTGTAAGAGGAAACTGTTGCTTTTTTGTTGTATTATATCTTTCTTATTTCTGCTCACTGCTCCAGTGATATGGCCTTAAAGAACGTGAGAAGTTATGGCGAAGATGAGTGTCCAATAGCTAAAATTTATGTTCCATGTCTATCCAAGTAGAAAAAATGGTTTGAGTCAATCCCGTAAAAATATTTATCTCTAAAAAGAAATTCAATCCGCTAGATTTGAACGTTGGCGTTGATCGCAAATGTCAATCTGAGAATTCACCCCCTCCCCCGGTCTCTCTGCTTGTAACCCCCCCTCTCTCTGCTTGTTTCATCCACACCCACCCTTCCAGTCTCACCACTTGTGCCATGCAGCCCCCACCCCACCCCAGCACCTTATATGCTAGCGTAGGTCTGCAGTTAGCATTGATAAATATATAGTTCTTTTAGTCCTGTAGATTGCCGTATGAAAACTAATAAATTTCTTGCCGCTGGTTATACTCAGTGGATTTTTATTTTTAACATCGTATTTTGTATATTATTGCGAGTGCATTTAATGTACTACTAGGTACTGCAGACCTACGCTAGCATATACACAAGACAAATCTGAATCTACGTATTTACCGGTACCTACGGTGAACAGATCTTTTATTTACCAAAAGTCAAAAACAAAACCATTATAGTCAATTTTGATCATACATGTTAATAAATGTATATTTCCTAATGATGTTGATCACAAGAAAGGACATAACAAAAAAAGAGAAAATGATAAATAAATAAATAAATAAAAATACGTGAGTATCTGTTTTTATTGAATTGTGAGGAAAATGAAGTTGTATAATTTTTCAACTATGTGTACAGTAATCTCAAATCAAAAGGACATCTTATTTATGCACCCAAGTCCGTTGTGTGACAGAGAAACGTCGCTGACCCATACTGATTTGGCAACGCGGATACAGGGAATGGGGAGATGGCTGTCCCTACTTTCGGGGCCTCTGGGTTTTGTACGTTGACATTTTCAATATAAGACGTGAAAACTACGTATTCTTAATCCCGTGTCCCCTCCTTGTCGACGCCGTAGTTCTATCCATAGCCCCCCTAATATTAAACCCTTTTCCTTGAGGGATTTAATGTCTTCTGCGCCTCAAAATGTCGGGGAAACACCGGCATGATCGCAATGGTCAAACTTGGCACTGTAGACGTGGGCTTGACCAAGTGGAAGTTTTCTTTCACTTAACATCATGCTTTATGCCTTTGTGACGTGACTTCTTCAAATGATTTTCATTGAAGCAATACCAGATATTTTATTCTTTATTTTATCCCTTATTTATATTTTTTGATGTAAGCACAATAGAGTAGTTTCTGCAGTAGCCTAGGCAGCGAACAATGTTAAATTGTAACATTTAAAGCTGAATAAATTATTATTAATAAGAGAATGGAGTGTACACAGCTCGATAAACAACAATAATAACTGTTAACCACGCACATGAAATCAATTACATACTGGCAGAAATCAAGAAGGTGGCAGCATTAGATCCTGGTCTCAGTTTGTTATTGAATTATACACGTTTTGAACAGAAACTTGCTGGCATTGATCCTTAAAGCTTTATAGGAATGAAAGTGCCACAACGACGTTATGTGTGGTTCTTTCTTCTCTTTTTACTTACCTGTTATTTATATTATTTGTTAGGGAGGGAGAAGGGAGGGTGAGTTTATCAGCCATCACAACTGACCAGCTGTTTGTAGTCCTGATAAACACGTATCTGACATGGTTTTTACGATAATAATTATGTTAAGATACCTCTACCGACATCATTAGTACTAGCTATCATGATCATCATTTTGATCAATTAGCAAGCATAATGCGACAGTAAAGATACCAGCCACCAAGGGCTGAGATCGCCAAAGTCGTCGTGTACGCTGTACTCCGCAAGAGAAATTTTATAGATTATTTAAGAGATATATTTATAGTGTCGGTAGATGCACATTTGGCTTGGATGTGATTTTATCTGCCTGTGTTTTTACTCTTTTCCTACTGACGTGCGACATGTAATATCGTACCTTTATGTCACCATTTATCAGTGGCGATCAGTACGCTGTGTCTCGTCAAGGATTTGTATCTCATTAGAAGCACATAATATTAATATAGGTATCTGAGGAAAGATATCTCATTATCTTGGAGTATCAGTTTTTCAGAGCTGCCCAGTCATCTTTGCTTTGTTAGTGCTGAAGACACTAAGACCCTATCAGACAAACGGGCCGAAAGTTTGTGATATCTTAATTTTTCTCACGATATCTTGATTATTATCATGATACCTTGCTTTTTCTCATAAATCTTAATTTTCCTTATGATATCTTGATTTGTCTTAGTCTATTTCTTATTATACGGAGCAGTAAGAAAAGAAAGCGGATTACGTATCAAGTGCAATGACGGCGAAAATCGTTATATTATTCCACAATGAACTCCAAACATCAGGATTCCCCCAATCATCAAATGCACGATTGCCATGGAACAGTGTTTTCTCCGTCACTGAGGCCTCGCGCTCCAACCCTGGGTTTGGGGTATTAGTCGATAATGCGTCTTTCAATATCGTTTCAAACCATTTTCATAATTGCGAGTGTAATTGATGTTTAAAAATTTTGTTTAAAAGAGACCACAATGATACATATTGAAGACCGTAAACCACACTAAATGTGGTAATTTTTCGTACATGTAATTAAGCCATCAGTAAAAAGAATAACTCTTTATCCTTTTGGAACAATTTATACCTTCTAACTAATACAAAGGCCTATATTGCGGTAATAAGGAGCATTTGAAGGGATTGGCTTGGTTGCTGAACAGACCTCCTAGCTTTCCTATGATAGCAACAGCCAAGGTCACAAGAGAGAAGGCGTCAATTTGACTGCTCCTGTTGAATTCCAACTCACCACATTGATAGGAAAAAAGGTCCTAGTCTAAGTATTCAAATCATGACATAGTGGCAAGGTATATGAAAGGAGCGGACCCAAAGGTAATAATATTGGGACATTTGGGATTTACAACACTGCAAAATTTTACTCTCGCAATAATGGAATAGTATGTTCCTTTCTAAGCGTATTTTCTGGCCAGACCTTATGGGGTAAATTGACAATCTTCTCGTGAATATGACTTGACTGTGACTTGATCACGTCTGCACGCCCGTTGCATAGCACCGAAAATTTGAATACTTATCTGGAACAAACGCTACTCGCAAACATAGGGGTCTGTGTTATTAAGAGGAGACTTGAAGCATTTTAATAAAGTGTTTTACTTGTCAATCCGCTATGCCTGTATGTGCTATCAATATTCATCTGCCACATATTAATATATTAACGTATTTGCTATCAGTAACGACCTTGTTTATAGAGAGGTTTGTTTTAAACAGTTCGATACATAACTGTGAATAATCGTATCAATCTCTATCGCTGAGGGAAGTTTTAATTGTGGTCTGTGTCTTTAAAACACAAAAATATCACGTAACAGCTTTATATACGCTCAGTAGCTGATCACAAGAGAGCTCTACCAAAATGACATCGGGGGAGTGGGGGGGGGGGGGACTCACATTACCGCTTAGAGGAAATGATGCCTAGAAATCATATAGATATTTAAAATTAAACTTGACAATGGTCTAATGGTTTTTCGTGAGTGATTGTTTTAAATTAATTAATTAAAAATGTCATTATTTAAGATGCGGCAATGTTTTGACAGTGGCTCGTGTTAAATTCATGTGCCAAAATGATAACAATAGTTCTAAGAATAATAAGAGGTTGACTGAAGGGAGTGTGTTAGAAGAGACACCATGTCACATCCGGTACAATGTAATGCTCTATGATGTGAAGAAGCAACCGAGATACTTGTTTGTCAGTTATATTTTCGTTTCTGATCAAATCGGAATGTTGGGCACTTTTAAGTTATATCGTGTAGTTCAGAAATATAAAACAATATTCCACGGCTTTGACAGTGTCCCTTTTTGATACAACTAATGCAACAATATTGAAATCAAGGCATTGAAGCTAGTGTACATGTAGTGGTTCTATATGGAGTGCGATAGAAATATGAGGTTTAAATAATTTTGTCACGACGACAGTCTATTGTTTAACATGTATGTGATATTTACCGGAAGATTCATCACTTAATCATGAAGACTGCTGGTCACTGTGATCATGAACGAATTTGCATAAATACTGCAACTGAGAAGCCAGACCTTGTGTTTGCAGCACCAGATCTGATAGAGATGACGGGGTGCACGTCTATAACACGTCTATAACAGTGGAAATACCCGGAGTTTAATGAAAACACGTAGAGCTAAATGAAACGATGTACTTTTCAAAATACACGGTAAGTTTATTGAAGTATTCTTGTCTGACAACCATGCGCCTTGCAACATATATGACAATATAGATTCTTTAGCTCTTGCAGAGATAAATGTCTTGTCAATGCTATATGTCTGTCCCTTTCAGGGCCACTCAATATAATACTGGTTACTAGTAGCCATGAGAATGAAATTAGTCACTGTTAACTTTATATGACAAGGAATGTTATATCTTCTATAACCGTTTTACAATAAAAAAATTGTGAAAAGAAAGATGTTGTCCTAAAATTCTAGAACAGAAGGCCGCTGCAAATCATGTATAAACACCTTATTATATTAAAATTACCAATTACACCCCACGTCAACTTACGGACTGTTTAAAATAAACCGTTTACAAGTATCGTAAGTACGGGTGTGTGGGTGGGTGTGTAGGGGGGGGGGGGTCATGGGGGGGGGAGGGGGGGGGGGAGGGGGGTCGTCCTTGGGAAGTATCCCCGACTCGGTCTCCACGTATGATGTATCCACACAGTAACGTTATCGTTCACTACCATGGCGGTGAAACATATTGGCGCAAAACACTCCTTGCACTGGCCCCTGCATATTCTACCCTAGTTTCAACTTACAAAATCATACAAATTATTGCGTCCACTAAATAAAAGCTATTCGCTTATAAAGTAGCTTTTTTTTTTGCAAAGATGAAAAATGAATCGTATGTAAATCATATCATTATGAATTATTACACGACATTCCATTATCTATTTAGTAAAAATATATATAAAGATGTTAATAAGTAAATCTCAATTCGTATTTATAAAGCCTTATACTTCGGATGACTAGCTTAGTTGCTTCAAATGTATACAAGTCACTAAGATTACATTTTTATAACGATACAATTGAAGTAATAAACTTCGTGCAAATCAGCTTTCAAAAAATCAACAATTAAATAATCCATCGAAAATTTCTTACTACATTAACCATAATATTGACCTGTTCTGAAGTATCTAACAATTATTCACTGAAGTTTTTATTGTACATGGATATTGAATGATGTAAATAAAATACCCGAAACATTCATTCTAAGGTTATTGTATCCTTAGGTGAAAGGCTGTTCCAACATTTGCAGATGTGATTGGTATTTGATGACATTTATGGCGACGACGACACTACAATATCTGCAAATAATACAGAATAACAATGACGTTTGTAAAAATGAACCTGCACTGTTAGTTTTCTATACTACTAATAATGGTATAACATCACATTACCTAATGCACAAAATGTCACTGCCTTGATATGTTTCGCTACATCCCTGTGACTCTCAATACAGAAACCCCCGTCCAAAATAGTCGAGTTTCACCTGTACATTGGTAGAAAAGTGATTATTCAGACTTTTGAAATACATCGGTTATTTTCTATTCATTTCACTTGATCAGTTATGCTCATATTCTTGACCTGTAGGCGTATTTCTATCACTGAAAAATACTAGAAAATTAGAAGGTAAGAAAAACATGGTTTGTAAGTATTTGAGCAAAGAGCGTGTATCAAAACACAATGTCGACAGTGACGATATGGACGCAGATGAAAATATTATGTAGAAAATGTCTAAGAGAATACACCACTACAAAGGTCCATTTGTCTCATAGACTACGGTGAACTGTACTGGAGGTTGCCTCAGCATTTCCAATTACCCCATGAGAAATTTTGTCTGAAAATTCCAGTAAACCTTAGGATCAGTGTTTATGCCAACTATTTCTTTGGAATTTTTATGGAAGGTACATGCTCACGAGAGAGTAACCGGTTAAAGATAGTCCACATAAAATGAACGCCCGGGCTCTGCAAATGTGCGAAATAATATCCACGTTTGAGAAAAGTTTTATCAATGTCGCCCATAAACCATAGTGCCATTTTCCCGTTAATTCTGCGGAAGTTCACACCTCCGACTTTGGCGGCTAATATCCCAACATATACGTCATCAATCCAATAAAACGGCGTTGTTAGGGACGCTCTAAACATTCGGTTAACTGCACGAGTTGTTGTGACGTATGCCAATCCCATTGGATAAGTCTGATAAGTGTTGTCTCTATATTCTTCTGTTGTAACATACCACTGTGTGTTTTTCTTTCTGTAAACTGATGGAGTTGTAATGGCGCCCATTATAAAATCTTTCTCCTTCTCGGCTTGAGGCAAATGCTGTAAGAGGCGGACGACAGTAAAAATGTCTGCCATGACATCATCATCCGCCTTAAGTACGTACTTTGAATTGTTGCAATTTTGAGAAATCCACTTAAAAGATGCCATATGTTTGTAAGTCATGTTCCGATAATGGTCCCTATAGTCCTCCTGAATGAGATCGTGATACAAAGCATTTTCTTGGTCAAGTCTGGCGTCTATTGTATTATTTAGTGACAACCCCAAGACAAAGACGGTTTTTACTAACGAATCCCGCGACCCGCTGACAAGAAAATATTCCGGGCTACCCCACGTTTTACGGATAATATTCCGATTTTTAAAATTCTCCGGTCTGGAGTGAATGATAATGAGCAAGAAAACTTCTCTTTGAATATCACAGATTCCTCTTGGTTTCATGTAATAATTAAACTCGTGTAAATTTGCTCCTTCAACTTCAAGTTTATGGGCACTAATTTGATATTTCACTGAGTGTTTTCCATAATACTGATTAGGTCCTTCGTAAGGTCCCAATGGGTGGGACCGCTCGACCCGCTTTTGTCCTGGTGCTAGACTTACTAGCTTTCCTCTTCCTTGAGTCAAGTTAACCGATAGCCTTCCTCCGCCTGAGAGCATCAAACCAGGCGATAAAGACTCGTAAGTGACCTCTGTTCCTCCTTGTTCCAGGCGAGGTCCAGCTTTTAACAAGCGCGGTTTGTCCAAGAAAAAGAAATAAACCATTCCTTGCACAGCTAAGATGAGAACGCTGATTTGGCAGACGCAATAAAGCTTTGTGCGTGTATGTTTTCGAACCATGTTACGGCCGGCAGAATTGATAGGTTCTTTTGCCTATGAACCTAATGGCTGTATACAAAAATGCAAAAGTATTTTTTTAATTTTTGTACGTAAAATGTGGCTTATTTCTTCACAGTCTACGCCGAGACTATTCCTATGAGGTGGTGACCTGACTAGGTTTGTAGCTCAGAAGCCCTGTGACGTCATGCACATCTCTACCTGACGTCAGTTTTCCCCGTGCTGCAGGTAAATCCTGGTATTTGATGTATGTGCCTTGACATTTACATTATAAAACTCTCTCAGAACGACACTGTTTGCCCCTTATGTCTGGTATATTGCTGTCCACTGCCGGTTGTCTAAAAAATAAATAAATAAAAATAAAGATAAACTGCGTTATAGAATGCAATGTGTATGATTTCGCGAATGTGAAACTCTATAGAAGAAAGTGAATAGACTACTGCTTACGTTCCTGTAGTCATAATCAGTCGGAAAAATACAACTGATAATAATAATAATAATAAACAAGCCCGCACATACGCGGCTCACCTCTGTGTCAAGGGCAAACTCAATGCATATGCAAATAAATGTTACAGTAAAAATTCAGAAGGCCAAGTTGGTAACTAAAACCTACACTAGAAACTTAAATCAACATCGTAAAAACTAAAATATTCTATATTAATATTATTTCAAAATATAATGAATGTAAATAGCGTTTAAAATATACATATAAAGAGTTGCTGAAATCAATTCAGATCTTGTGGAAATAAAAATATTGATATAAAATCATGAAGAAGTTTGGAGACTCTCCTGAGGATTCTTAAGTCTAAAAGCACTGCAAAGAGCAGGCTGAAAATGAATAGATAAGACGCATAAACCACTAAATTACATGTCCATAGCAGTCTGGGGGACACAATGTGAAGTTTTTCTACATCACTTAACAGGCCACTCCCTTCCCATCTCGTCACGTTCATAGACTTCCAAGAAACTGTAGGTGTAGCACTGTAGCGAACCTGGAGGGGTGAACAGTGTGAACGTGTCATATTTATACTCGACATTGACCATTCGAAAACCTAGTCTGGAAGATGGTGTTCACATTACTCACATGTATAGGCCTACCTCAAGGTGTGAACTCACCTGTTAAGGGGAGCCCCACATTGTTAACAGCTTACATACAGTGTACTAGTAGTGCAGGGAAATGAGTAAATGTACATAGGCGTCCGAAAACATAGTTCCATGTCTCTGCATCGTTATTTTTCTTGTTATCTTAAGTGCTTAACGCTGCCTTAACACCTGGATGCATGTCGCCATGTTTTCACGCACACTGTCTGGCAGTTGCTGTTTATCCACCTGAGGTACTGCATTGAACCACAGTGATAGAAAACACAGCGCCTAGCAGATACATGTGGTCGCCACAGGCCGAGGCCCAGACAACGATGGATACAGCGTACCAGTACGATCAATGGCGAAATGAAAGGACTCGCCAGGTGCCTTAACATGACCTACTTTTACCTGTCACCATCAGGTGTGCTCCGCAGCAAATGCAGGACATCGTTCCCTGGGGTACAATAACTGCTTAAACGACTGGAGACCGATCGGCTACTGCTGTGACTTTAACCCCTTAGTATAAAGAGTCTATAATTAATCCGATTGATCGGGACTTCACCGTTCGCCCGTTCTGGGTGCGTTCAGGACGCTTCCTAATATACCAGTATTAAAATGGTCAAACTGAAAAATTACTCTAGTAGATATACTTGTTGTCCAGTATAGGTTTCCGGGAATGCACCAGTTTACATATACCTAAATATACCCACATACCATTAGCTATGATGTATATTGGTTTGTAAGTACTGTAGATAGATAGTATCTATCTACTTACAAACCAATATACATGTGATTACTTGTCAGTATATATATATATATATATATATATATATATATATATATATATATATATATAAACGTACCAGTTTAACAGTACATATACTTACATCCATATGTACCACTATACATAGGCCTATATTTACATTACATATATACATACAAATACATACATACATATAGCTCTTTGCGGTCACAGAAAATTAAAGTGCAAAGTTTTTCATATTCAAACGATTAACTAAGAAAACAAATTCAATAATGCTTGCATTAAAAATGATGAGCAAAGCGAAGATGCCCAAAAAAAGTCCCCAAAACCTACCTGACTGTGATATTTGGTGAGCAACAGTTCAAGTACGCTTATGAATTGGAAAGAGTACACGTACGATGTGGCCGCTATTCAAGATGTTTAGCTGAGATACATGCAAGGACCGGGGTTGATACGAATCATTGTAATTATCCAGCGGAGTACGAGGAAGTTCCGATATGCATCACTCGTGTAATTACAAGCATTACTACAAGCTAGGCGGAGGCGTCTATGGACCAATGTTGCCGAAATCACAGCACAGTGCCTCGTTCTCGATGTCTGATTATATTCCTAAGTCTCGCTGTGCTACTGACCGAGGAGATGTCATAGACCGGTAGCTTTATGTTGTCCTGTTTTTCTTCTTTGGGATAAAAAGATTTTGTGAGCAAAGTGTCTTCAGAGTTGTCTGTTGTATTTAGACACATTTGTTTTGTGTCTTCCCACGACTTTGAAAAGACCGTCAGAATATTAATGTTCTCGTAAGACGCGTTGATTACGTGTATGCATTGTCTACAAAGGAAACTAAGATAGTTTTACTGATTTTCATGAGCTACGACAACGTCCAATGCCTTCGCCCGGCGGAAAAAAAGGGAGCGTGAAGCTATTTCAACCAAAACTGTCTAACGGAATAAGACAGATGCTTATTACGCAAAAAAAAAAAAAAAAAAAAGACAAACTGAATTTGCAATTTAGCCTTTTACCATGAAGTTAAAATCTGCTTAATGTAATGCAATCGAAATCCACCGTCAATGCTCGAGCAGACAACTCTTTGGAGATTTGAAAACCCTTGTCAAGTCTCCGTAAAGGACGTAAATAAAGCACGGAGAGAGAGAGAGAGAGAGAGAGAGAGAGAGCTGTTAACTCACGAGCAGCATCCTTAATATGATTCAAAATCAATATAAAATAATATATGCCTGTGCCAGGTATACTGACTCTCTTTTCTTGTCAACTCTATAAGTCAATACTTGGTGGCCATGTTATATAATATACTGCGGAGAACACAGTTATACGTGAATAGCAATATAGGCAATTGTAATATATATATGGATGATTGGTAGAAAGTGAAATACAAACTATGTTTGAAAGCAAAGCAATATAGCCTACGTACAGAGTAGACTTAATATGATATGTTCCGGGATGAGCTGACAGCGCGGTGTGCAGTCGTATTTAAGTCGTGGCTGTACAAATCTTATTTATTTTTTCTGGATAATCTTGTCTTTTAGAACTACCCCAGCGTCATAGACCAGATCCCAATTTACTCCCGTTAATAACTGGACTAGGCCAGATCCCAATTAGGCCTTTGTCATTATTGACAGCATAGTGAGCGTTTTTATATTGGCCAAGTAATTTACACGCGACCTGCCAGTGTAGTTGTTTAGCATACGTGCTGTAATTGAATTGTGGGTGTTATAGATCAAGGTCTATCATATTAAATTTACATGTCTGGCAAATGAAATTTAGTTTAAAAAATCATCTGTTGATGATGGACTATTGAATTAATATTTAAAGAAAAATCATTTTATATCGATAAAAATGAAAGAAATCTTTTATTTTAATCTTTTATTTTAAAAAGCAACAGATTTTAGGAAAAAGCCTGCCCATTAATATTTTGTACAGCTTTTTAGATAATCTCTTCATTTTCTTAAGAATATATGATATGTACAAAGAAAAGTGTGAGTTGTTTGCCACCCAACAGTAATAAACTTTGTAATATTTGCAGGAACATCTATTTAGTATTCAGGTACCTTGAAGGGGAAGTTATATAGATCAGCTAAAAAAACTAATTGAACCCAGTAATAACTACTGCGAAATGACCAACATCAATTGTGAAGGTTTGAAGGTATTATGTCTTTAAATCTTCATTGCCCAATCAATGCCTTTGGTGACTCGCACTCCCAGTGTACTGCCATGGAGTCTGGTTCACATTGACGAATCTTAAAACTCATTGAAATACATGATGACTGTAAAAAACGGCTCCTATTAATTAGTGATTCACTGGACACAATTCATGTACAAAATTCATGTACCGGAAAAAACACGTGCAAATTT